TTTTAAACTCCACGAAACGCGTGGACAATCCCTAGTATCATATACAAGGGGTTATCACGCGCAAATGCGCGTGGAGTATATTTTAAAATTTTAGCAAAAAAAAAATTAGCAATTATTTTCTTCTACTAATGTTGATGTGTATTGCACACTTCATAATTATGTAGTTTTAGTTTTGTATTCATAGCTATTCAATATCATATAATAAAATATTAAACATGAAGGCAAATGAGGATATATTTTATTGATCACTTATTTGTTTGTGTACGTTCTTTTCGAATTTATTTCGTTTTTTGAATTTGTTTATGCAATTTTTTTACTGATCACGATCATACTTTATTTATCGATTAGAAGAATATATTTTCGAATTAAATTATTTAGTGTACCGTGAATTGTTTTTAGTTTCTAATTAATGAGAGTCATATATATGACCAATTAAATACTAACCAAACTNGCGTTCTTTTGCATCAAATACGTTTGTAATAAAAAAANTTATTACATGATTGGTTGTNTTTTATTTTGCATCAAATACGTTTGTAATAAAAAAAATTATTGATCAGACAAGTTGTAGTATATTTTGCTTTTATCGAGAAATCTGCATTATCTCAATATAGATGTTGGAATGCATCTTTATGTTTTATTTCGTTAGAACCTTAAATTGTAAGGAAATAATAATTTTTGTTTGATTGTTTTTTTCTCACTCTTTTTATCGTTTTTCTGCGATTTTTATCTTTCACATCGATTCATTTGTGAATTATTATGTTTTTCTGCATTCACAATTTGTGGAGGAGTAAGGTTTCCTTTCGAGAGTATTGGTTAGGAAATGATTGACAATTTTAGCATATTAACAACCTTAAAATTCCTAAAATCACTAATTAATTTTCGCACACCACTTTTTTTTGTTAATATTACGATTCTTTTTATTAAAACCTTTTGTGACTTTATTTTTTGGACTTTTTGTTTTAAAATGGTAGTTACATATCTAAAGTTTTAAATGTATTTTTATTGTATAGTATATTACTGGGTTTAATAAATAAAATATATATTTTCAAACCGTTAAAAACTGAAATTGGTCATCTTTATACAATTTAATTTTGGGAATTAACTTACATTAAACTTAACTATTAAAATATAGGAATTAATTATTAAAGTTATTAAAAACACTTATTTTTTTTTC